GAGTATGAGACTCCCTGGGGAGGAGAGGATTTTGGAAATGGAGCAGTCTCCTCACAGACTATTTCCAGATGGCTCCAGGAACATTCTTAAGGGCATGACCACTCACAGGGTCCTGTGGTGGGGGTGCTTCCCCAGGAGAGAGAGAGAGAGAGAGAGAGAGAGAGTGAGTATGAGACTCCCTGGGGAGGAGAGGATTTTGGAAATGGAGCAGTCTCCTCACAGACTATTTCCAGATGGCTCCAGGAACATTCTTAAGGGTTGTCTTTCAAATTCAGGATGCTGCATTAATAAAAGACCCCTATACATTCCTTATAATAGCTCATTCTTTTACCATCCTTTCATTCTTAGTATTTTACCTATAAGGTCAGAAATGGCAGTTTTTCAGTGAGCTCAGAATGGGCTTGTTAGTGGGCACCCTAGTGAGCCATTGGTCCTTCCGGGCTTTTCCTGTCCTGTTCAAATTGGGTAGAACAATTAATGAAGGTGAAAGTTAAACATTTATTTGAGGCAAAAGAAGAAAAAGAAGCACAAGAAAAGTGCTCAAGAAGAAAGTGCTCTGGAGAGCAGGTGTGGCCCAGTGGGAGCAGGCAGGAGCTGTGAGGAGGCTCACCGCCAAGAGCTGAGTGACCACTGCCCTTCATGTCTTCTTTCTGATGTCAGATCTGCGTGTCCATCGAACCTGCTGGATCTTCTGCTGGAGGACAGGTGTCAGGTGCAGGGCTGTGAGCTGCTCCCTGGAGCCCTGTTCCTGGTCAGGCTCTGCGGCTGCCGGGTCACACCCAGCAGCCCAGCCACACTGCTTAGGCCTAGTCTCCTCCCTCCATCTGGCATTGTCATTGTTCCTCATCAAATCCGTGATTGTGGGTTTCCTCCTTTCATCTCCTCTCCTCCACATTCTGACCTCTCTGTCTCTGTCTCTGTCTCTCTGTGTCCGTCTGTCTGTCTCCCACTTGACCCATTCACTCTCCTTTCAGTGGCCCCTACAGGCCCCCAGTCCAGCTCTGGGAGGTCCTGCCCAACTGCAGACCCCTTCAAGTTCCCCAGTGCACACCTTTCTGCCCTTATCTCCTGTGGGAGGCTCTTCTCCCATGAACTACACATCAGCCTCTCATGTATTGTATTGTTCTCTTATTCAGTTTTTAATTTGTGTTTCTCTCCTCGTGTGATAGGCTGTGAGACCTTGAGGGGAGGGGAATTTGTCTATTGACCATGATGTTTTTCAACATCCCACGATGTTCTCCAACATGGCTTTGTACATTGTTATCTCTGCCCATTTGAGGAATGAATGAATGAATGATAGACATTCTGGAAGGTGGAATTAAATGCTAGATCCGGAAGTGTTTTGTGGAATGTAATACAATACAGTGACATTGTTGGTAGTAGAACCTAGATAACTGCTATGCAATCAACTTTAATGCCAAGTGCTAAATCAGTAGAACTGATTTTCAGGTACAGAGATAATTAGAAATAAGCTGAGTTTGAAGAGTCAGTGGATTCCAGTGCCAGGAAAGCTGCACGTGTGTGGGTGCAGCCCACCGAGCTGGTGGGCTCTGGTGACATCACAGCGACACCTTTGCAGTGTGCACTGCCTCCTGCTCCACAAGCATCTCTCATGCTGTCCCACTGGCTAGGAATCCAGGGAACCTTCTCTGAAGCACTGAATTTTATTAAAAAGTGGCTTGTGATTCTGTGTCCCTCTTTGTCAGAACTGTGGAGGAGCAGAGCTCCCTGCAGGGAAAGGAGGTCCTGCATCACCTCCTCCCATGTTTTCCTCCTTTCTGTGCACCCCTTTGTTACTCATCTTGGGTTTCCCGGATACACCATTATTAATTCTCTCCTCTGATGTATCCTTAAGCACTATGCTAATGATCACCAAATTCCCTTCTTCCCTGTAAAGGACAATCAAAGACACAGAGGCCCTGCCCTGCAAAAGTAAAAGAAAAACAAATTGGCCCTCAACTTCAAACACTAGTTTCTTAACCTGTAACTCTAGAACCTTTTCCTTATGGACTCCATCTGCATAGATTGGTGTCTGCTTCCAGGAGAGTGAAGACTGAGCCAGATAACTGATTTCCCAATTGCTTTCCTCTCTCAGGCTCCCTTTCCTCCACCAAGAGACAAGTTTATCAGGGAATTAACAAAAAGCTTTTCTTGTCATGCCCAGAAGGGAGCCTGGATCAAAGAAGCCTGCAGGAGGCTTCTAGGTGGTGCTGGCTGGAGTAGTAGTAATATATTCTCATTAGCTGAGAAGGTAATGGGACACATTCAGAGAGGATTCCCTCTCCTGTGTCCCAGAGGCAGAGAAATTGGGAACAGAAGGACTTATTAAGCCCGTCTGCGCTCCTAGCCTGGGCCCTTGATGTAGGATTTCTATCTGCTCCTGGGGCCTGCAGGGTCCTGTTCCTCCATGGCACAAGGAGGGGACGAGTTCAACTCTGGCTATGAGAGTCAGTCACACCACACACATGTTCACCTCCACAGATGAGCTCCTGGATTCTGTCTGCATCTGCCCTCATTCCACACTGACCTTCTGATGCCTTCCCAAGTCTGGTGACACACAGCCATGTGTCTCCTTCCTCTCTGACACTGCCTTCCCTAAGACATGGCAGAGGCTCTGTCTTTGTGCCTGTTTACTTTGTCATGATCATGGGTACATTTTCAAAGCCTAACAAATTAGGAGCCCAAGATATTTGCTCCATGTCTTTCTAGTTCATTTTGAGACTAAAATATGAACCCCTGTAGATGACAACTCTCTCTTAAATTCAGAAATAAAAGCAAGTCGTCCTGATAGCTCCTTTATGTTTATGAGCTCTTTGTTAATCCACAAACCAGTGGAGTCCTTTCTGTAGCTAGGACAGAGGATTTTTTCTTTTCCAGACCTACACTTACTGGTATGGAGTTGTCAAGACACTTTTGCCCTGCTTCAGGAAGGAAATCTAAGGAGAAAAAGTGTCATCTTGCCCTAGGGTAGATTGGGCCCATGACACCTCTCCTGCTGTTTAGCGCTTAACTGTCCCTGGGAATGGGGAGGGAAGTACATGGCCTCTGCTTATCAGTGTGTCTGATACAGCAGTGAATTAAGGACCCAGATTCTGCCTACCCAAGGTACTAAGCACTTTGTATATAAAAGGACAAGGCCTCCTGGTCCCCCATTTCCATGGAGACCCAATGGGAGATGGGATTCTGAGGAGGGGAAAGGCTATCCCATACCTCAGTGTACCTGCTAATGATCCCAGGGGGGTCACAGGGTCCCTAGAGAGCATCTGGGGGTCCAGATCACTCTACACCACTGTCCTCATCTCCTCAGGAGAGCGCATCAGCTCCCAGCTATAGCCAGCTGCTCTGTACAAAGCTGAGCTGGTCAGAGAGAAGAGCTGGAGCCTGCAGAGGGCCTGGTTCCTCCACATCTGCCATCTCCTGGCTCCCCAGCTGTGCACCACCAGGGACCCAGACATCGCATGATTTTCAGGCCCTTTCCCTGCTCTACACTTCTGGAAGATTCATTCTCAGTGGTAGCCCCCGGCATGTAGGTGAACATGGTGAGGTGAGCAGGGCTCTTGAAAGGGGCTCCTCTCAGAGCTGCACCTCTCACCCAACTGATAAGTAGTTAAGAAGCAGGATGTGCAGACAGCTTGGGGCAGTGTTGTGTGGTCTTCATGGGCTCCGGGTTTGATCCCACAAACCAAAACGGAGCCTTGAATTTGTCAGGCAGAAGTAAGGGAACCAAATCTGAGGTGTTAATTTTATTTTGCTGCAAGAAAAAAAAGCAAAACATCAAAAGCATGTCATCGGCCTCTTGTGAGGGAGACGCAGACTGTTTTGTGACCAGATGAGCCAGGGCTACATGTGCCCTCTCCTGTAATGCTTTATTTATTGTGTTCATACTTTTATCCAAGTTGCAAATTCTTTGATCTTCGAGGCTGCGAACTAATTTGAAATACATTTAAACTTTAAAACAACTAATTTTCATTTAAATAATTTTAACACAAGTTGAAAGTGTTAATCCTGTGAGCACTTCCCACCCTCTAGAAACTGCAGAGTGTGTGTCCTTATCTGGTGGCCAAGGAGGAAGAGAGCAGGGGTGCGAAGTCTTCCCAGGTGCCTGCTCTCTGCTCCACAGGAGGCATGCCGTTACCATGACACCCTGTCTGGACACACAGTCCCCAGCACAGGAGTGGAGCCCAGGCTTTATAAACAGCCCCCTTCTGGTGGGGAAGCTGCTCACTCTGCTGTCTTCATGTCCCTGCAGTGCCCTGTCTGCACAACACTGTCTCAGCCTCTCCTGGCCTGTCCCTGTTGCCTCCCTGTGGGGATGCCCAGGTCTTGGGGCAGAGCCCACTCCTGCCCTGTGCAGTGCTCCCTGCTGTGTCACAGGAGGCTGGGGTCCCCCAGGCAGGAAGCGAGACAGCCCACCCAGGGAGCTCATAGCTCCAGAGCAGCTCCTTCCTATTGTACCTGGTAAAGGGTAAAGGGATGGGGTACTGAGCTCTCCCTCAGCAGGAGAGGACCTGGGGCTCACGTGACAAGTCCACATGCAGACAGGAGAACTCCCTACATGCAAGAGCAGATGCCTGGTTGGGGCATGGTAGTCACAGTGGCTGTGGGAAGTGAGCACCGGTAGAGGCATTGAGAGCTGTACTTTCTGGAACAGTGGTGGAGAAGACCTCTGCCCAGGAGGAGGAAAAACACTGGCTGCCCCTCCAAAGTCTAAATTCAGGCATAGAAAATGTGTCCCTTTCCAGGACCTTTCAGGAGGTGACAGTGTCTGTCCCTTGTCTTCCGGAGAGCAGTGAGCTCCTGGGGACACCATGCTGGAAGGTGCAGGGGCAAGAGCAGCCCCTGCCTTTTAGAGACAGCACATGTTCCTGTTTAAAAATAATGCTCAGTAGAATCAAGTTTGAGCTAATGCGTTTTATGAAATGCAAAGGTTTCCACAACAAAGACCTCCAGCCACCAGCATAAATTCATGTTTTCAATACCCAAAAGAGTGGAAAAATACTTTTTCAGAGCAAGGAGCCAGCGTCTTGATGCAGAGCTGATAGGGTATGGGGAGTCAGCATTGGCAGCCCTTTCTCTGGTGCAAACCTTCCTGAGAAGTCCTCCTGCCTCCCTCCCAGCTGAGAAGGCAGATCCATAGGAGACTGAACTCCAGCTCCCCTGCAGCCCAGACTCTTGCCCTGCCCATCGCCCAGCCTGGACATCAGTGCTCACTCTGGTCTGGTTTCAGAGATCCAGAGATTTGGCACTGTGAGCGCACACTGAGATGCTTCACATGCTAGGGTGTCACTGTGGTGATGGGAAGCTCATTTTGATCTTTTGTTTTTCCTGTTTTCTCATATTTCTCCCTTTTTTTCCTGTTTCATTTAATTTTTAGAAAGAATTATTGCTGAGCAGGAGAAAGAGATGATCTTTGAAGAGGAGAATGGAGAAAGCTTAAGCAGTGCATTAACCAGGTACAACCTAATTTTAGAACATAACCTGAATCCCACCTATGATATTTACACACAGGGTATATTTTTAAAATTCCAAGATAATTTTTGATAATTGGTTATTGCATTGTAAAGGATCATAAAAAACTGAAAGTCTTCCTTCACTCCCATCTCACTCTCTAAGAGTATGTGCTTCCAGGTGTCTTTTTTGTTTTAAGACCAATGTCTATTTAAACAGATAGATGGAGAGAGAGAGACAGAGAAAGAGAGAGAGAGAGAGGGAATGATCCTACTATGCACTATGCCAATATGCATTATGTTTTGTTTCTCTACTCATTTGAAACAATTATTTTTGTATGAAATTCCAGGGGATGTCAGATCTATATTTGAATTTAGGAATAATTTTATCAAGTTCATAATGATATAGGTGCACATTACTTTGTGTCTCTGACTTTGTTTCTGGGCTCCTCTCCTTTGCTCTGTTCTCTGGGAGGGTTCTTAAGGGTGTCTACCTCTAATTCACGCCTGATGCCTGCAGGCCAGGCTTCACATTGTGCACGGAGAAAGGCAGGAGTTAGCAGGTCAGTTTCCACTGTGTGAAAGCCAGATGCTGCTTCTGTTAAATAACCTGTGTGGTGTCAAGGTTCGTATGTATTTTTAAGTGGGGATTTTCTCAAAACAGATTTCTGTAAAGACACCATCCCGGGTTCAGCTCTGTCACAGGGTCATGGAGAATGAGCTCATTTTACTCTCTTTTAAGTGCTGAATAGCACTATATTTTCTGTTTTTAGAGCAGATGTCTCTGTTTAAGTTTATATCTGCAGACATCAATGAGCAGCTATCTCATGTGTGAAGGGCAGGTGTTGGTAAATGGTTTGTTTTCCTTTGCAGTGCTTCTTCAAATCATTGCTCATTTTAATTTTCCCTCAGGTTTTTCTTGCCAATTTTTTGAAAAAAAATATTTTAACAAGGAAGCCTTTTGACTTCTGAAATTTCTACTTTTGACTTTTGAATTGTCATTATTTTTAGACTTTTGTTAGCAGTGTTTCTTAGTATGTACATTTTTTATTATGTGAACAAATTTTCTCTATTTTACTTTACAGTATTTGATAAATGAAATTTGATTTGAGAAATCTTTAATCTATGTTGATCAGGAAAAAAAGAAAAATCTGTCATGCCTTCTTATAGTAGTCTTTTTAAAAATGTTTAAATCTATATTTTATGATTTGTTTTTATATAAGTGATCAAGTAGGAATACACACTTTCTGCCTCCTCCTCAAGTATCTTGGTTGTGATATTTTAATTATTACATTTAAAGCATGATCAGGCATATATTAATATAGTTTTCCCTCAGAAACTTCTTTTCCCTAAAAATTTCCCTACTTAATCTCATGGATTTATTTCATACTCCTTGATTGTATGATATATAAGCTTCATTTCACATACAATGGACCATTGACTTAACTCTGTCAGTTCTGAGGGCTGGTTGTAACTACGGCTGAGATCTGGATGTTTACCTGGATGTTTATGCTATAGATAACAAGAGGCAGATGAACCTTCCAGTAAACTGATTAACCCAAGTTGTTCATATGTCAGGCCAGTCGTAATTTGAGGGTCCACTGTAT